CACCAGTTGGACGTGAAGAATGCTTTCCTTCACGGTCATCTCGAGGAGACTGTCTACTGCCAGCAGCCACCAGGCTTCGTCGACCCTGGCGCCCCCGACAGTGTCTGCCTCTGCAAAAGTCCTTGTACGGACTGAAGCAGGCTCCGCGGGCCTGGCACCAGTGCTTCTCCACCTTCGTCCGGCAGCTCGGCTTTGTCGCCTCCGCCTCCGACGCGTCCCTCTTTGTTCTCCAAGAGGGGACGCACCTCGCCTACCTACTGCTGTACGTCGATGACATCGTCCTCACCGCCTCATCCACAGCTCTCCTTCAGCGCATCACGGCCCAGCTGAGCTCTGAGTTCGCCATGACGGATCTTGGCAAGCTTCATCACTTCCTCGGCATCGCCGTCACACGCTCCTCCGACGGCCTATTCCTGTCTCAGCGCCAGTACGCCGTCGATCTCCTTCAGCGTGCGGGCATGGCTGAGTGTCATCCTACGGCGACACCTGTTGACACTCAGGCCAAGCTCTCCGCACATAACGGGGAACTCCTGTCAGAGAAGGACGCCTCCGAGTATAGGAGCCTGGCTGGGGCGCTCCAGTACTACACTCTGACTCGTCCTGAGCTGGCTTATGCTGTCCAGCAGGTGTGTCTCTTCATGCACGCTCCCCGAGAGCCGCACCGTGCGCTGATCAAACGCATCCTGCGCTATGTGAAGGGCACCCTCTCCTCGGGTCTACACATCGGCGCCGGGCCCGTTGACAAGCTGACGGCTTACTCCGACGCCGACTGGGCAGGCTGTCCTGACTCCCGACGCTCTACCTCCGGCTACTGTGTATACCTCGGTGACACTCTGGTCTCCTGGTCCTCCAAACGCCAAACCACAGTGTCACGTTCCAGCGCCGAGGCGGAGTATCGTGCTGTGGCACATGTGGTGGCCGAATGCTGTTGGCTCCGACAGCTCCTCCAGGAGCTCCACCTCTGACTACCCTCCGCCATCGTTGTCTTTTGTGACAATGTCAGCGCAATCTACATGACGGCCAATCCCGTCCACCACAAGCGAACGAAGCACATCGAGATCGACATACACTTCGTCCGCGAGAAGGTGTCCCTTGGTGCAATTCGGGTACTCCATGTGCCCTCTTCTCATCAGTTCGCCGACATCATGACTAAAGGGCTTCCGACGGCATTGTTTCTAGACTTTCGATCCAGTCTTTGCGTCAGGGGAGCCTCCCACATGCGATCATGGGCGGGTGTTAGGAAATAGAATATCCTCGCTAATTATGGATATCACAGCCATAATTAGCATTTATAAATCGTAATTAGCGAGATGTAAATCAGGGATCAGTTGCTATAGTTAGCAAATGTAAATCAGGGAGATTACCCCCTGCCTTGTAAAGCAAGGCCAGCCGGCCATATAATAGAAGGCGCCCCCTCACATTGAGGTGTGGCCAATTGCCCCCAAACTCTATTCTTCTACAATATGTACTTTGGAACATCTCGAAGAATCTTTTTAAATCTCACTCTCGAAATCATCATTTGGACATTTGCATAAAAATTGCTTTATATATCCTTCCACTCTCCAACAGTGAGTCATTCTCGTTTTCTATCTTTGACTAGCGAGAAATCCATAATAGAAGATACCTATATTTGGATAACCAAATAAAGAAGCTGTTGGATGATTTTTTTTTCATCAAAATATCTATTCGTACCAATTAGAAATGGTATAGAGTCTCTTGGAATTGCTCGGACAACTCACAATGAGGTGCTTGTCTAGACAACAATTGTAATAAATAATCAAAACCTAAACATAAAAAATGGCCGGTAAGGAATACATAAACAAACACAACAAGCATTTCTGACTTCATTTTTAGTTGATCCAAAGGGCAACATAAGTCTACATCCAACAAAATACAGTCATGCAACATCCAACATATACAGTTCATAGATGTAAACCGACGGATTCCAATGCACACCAAACCACATTTGCCACCAAACCATAGAGGAAAGGAGAGATCGATGTTAGAAGGGGAGACATCCAACCAATAGATGATGAGTAGAAGGAGCACAAGTACCTCACCGACGTGTCCGCCAAAGCATTTCCGCCTAGGCTATCTCAAGTGGACGTTGCCCCTTGAGGACCACAGAACAGAGAAGAAGGTTGACTTAGATGAGGAAAAATCCAAATGAAATCATGTGAGGATTCGCCAGGGCGAATTGCCTCACCGCTAAGGGAGGAAGACACCTCTGGAGGAGGGGGAGGCAGGCGGACAGATCCAAGTCGAGAACCGTAGAGAGTGAGGGAGGGAGGGAGATGAGAGAGAGAGAGAGGGGGCAGGCACAGAGTCAAATGGGAGAGAGGGATGACACTGATAATTAAGCCAGCCCATGAGTGTGCAAAGCGGAAGACACAGCGCACCAGGACACACATGGAGTCCTTTCACAATAGTGGTTTACAAAAACGACATTGAAAATCCAAAAAGTGTTGTTGGTACAAACGTTTTACTCTCTATGTCCCTGGATAAATATATTCTTAGAGTTGTCTTAAATCAATCGTTTTTTAATTTTGACCAAATTTATAGAAAACCCCATCAAGATTTATGATATTAAATTAGTATTGTTAGATTAGATATACCATAGAATATTTTCATAATATGCTCATTTTACTCTTTCCTACAAAGTTAGTCAAACTTAAAGATAATTTGACTTACACGGATTCTAGGGATTGATTTGTTTGGATATGGAGGGAGCATGTCCATGGAAGACATGTGCGGCTGTAACTAGAGCTGGGACTTGGGCTGTGCCATTTGAGGGCGGGTCATGGCATGGCACGGCACGAAGTATTTTGGGTCGTGCCGGCACGACACGAACACGAGGGCTGCGTCGTGCCTAGGATCTCAGCTCACGGCCTATATGGCCCAGCCCGCATTTTGGACCATGCTTGGACCGGCATGACACGAAAATAGCTAGTAGACACATATACAACTCTTCAATGCGCGCAATTTTCTAGCATTTACTATACTACATTTCATCAAATTCTTGAATAGATTATAAAATCATTAAAATGTTCATCAAAATAGTGCACACAAGATATATATATAGAACTACTGTTCTGCAGCTGACTATAAAATAACTTATTCTGTGGTCACTTTGAGTTACGATAATTACTATACTAATTCACGAGATTATGATAACTCCTTACTATGTGATTTACTATAACGTTACCGTAAATATCCTCATGTGTTATAGTAACACAACTATCGTGTGTGTATATATATATATATATATATATAATAATAATAATAATAATAATAATAATAATAATAATAATAACAATAATAAGTTATTCTGTAGCCACCTCCATTTACAATAATTTTATATACTAATTTACGATAAAGTTAATACGTATTTACGATAGTTGGGTTCCTATAACACATGGAGATATTTACCATAACGTTATAGTAAACCACTTAGTAAGGAGTTACTATAATCTCGTAAATTAATATAGTAATTATCGTAACTCAAAGTGGCTACAGAATAAGTTATTTTGTAGCCAGCTACATGATAGTGTGTATATATATATATATATATATATATATATATATTCATATCACAAGCGGAAAAAGAAAACTAACAGAGATATTTTAAGGGTCGTGCTTGGACCAGCACGACCCGAAGGCGTGTCGACGTGCCACGGGCCATGCTTGGACAGAAGAAAAGATTCACCGTGCCATATCGGCACCGACCGATGTGTTTCGCCTGCCTATAGGGCATGACCTAAAGCGGCGCGAAGCACAAGAGGGCCATACCGAGCAAGTCCCACCTCTAGCTGTAACAAAGACAATACCAAATAAATTGTAAGAAGAAGTTTTGAATGAAAAGAGTCTGTCAAGCTTGTTGGTATACTCACTTCGTCCCTAAGTAACTGTCATTTTCGCTTCTAGAAATAACTTTGACTAAATATATATAATTAAAAATATAATAATATTTATGGTACAAAATTAATACCATTAGATAGATCATTGAATTTATTTTCATAATAAATTTATTTGAAGATATAAATGTTGCACATATTTTCTATAGATCTAGTCAATCTTGTGACACAAAAATAAAAAATGACAGTTATTTAGGCACGGATGAAGTATGTTCAAACTTCAAACCCTGGCGAACAGCATTGTGACATCAGTAACAAGGAGTTGGTACTTCCATGCCTTCTCTAGACTCCGGGCAGAAAGGACAACTAAGGTGGAGGTATTTGGTAAACCTAAGCATTTTGTGAGCTGGGCGAAAAACCTAGTTATTTTGGGTCAAAAAAATCCTGTCCATGACTATCCCACTAGGTAGGTCAGACCTAATTTTTCAGGCTAGGCTCAGGTCTGGGCGGGCCACCCGCACATTTTATATAGTGTAAAATAGCAAAAAACAGTATTTCAGGCCAATAATTTTTTTTCTAAGCAGCGGGATCTGTGCTCGGGCCCTGTCCAAAAAGGTTCATGGACGGGCGAAAACCCATCGGGCTCAGGCCAGGCCCACGGGCCGGGCTCAATTTGCTCAGGTACAGTGTACTCAGGTACACAGCGGATGCCTACGGCAACGGCGACTTGACTACTGATATCCCTGAATTCCACAATGCGGTGGCACGCGAGAGGCAAGATGAGATACCAACATTGCTGTGCTATAATTAACATGGAGTTGCGGTTGGGCTAACTCTCGAGTCTCAACTCTCAAGCACGCCCGTTCTGAAACAGCTATTTTGGATTTCGTAATCAAGCGTTAATCCGGCAAATGAATCTAAGTATAAGAACATGTCACAGGATAAGGATTTGAGTACATAACACACTGCAAGTTACAGAGCCTGATGAACAACTTATTAGCCAAGACTTAATTCGATATAGCATAGTAGTTGTGTTGCAAAAAGATTCATACTGCATAACATCGTCGACAAGAGTTGTATTGTATCAACGGTTGTGGATCTTCAGTCTCGCCATGCAAGGACGTCCATGTACTTGGTCAAGTAAGCTCACAGTCTGAGCTCAAGATCCAGAGATGCCCGCGCCGGCACCACCTCGCTGCCGCCGCCCTCCTCATCCAGAGATGCCCGCGCCGGCGCCACCTCGCTGCCGCCGCCCTCCTCATCCAGAGATGCCCGCGCCGGCGCCACCTCGCTGCCGCCACCCTCCTCATCCAGAGATGCCCGCGCCGGCGCCACCTCGCTGCCGCCGCCCTCCGTCGAGGAGGGAGAGGGATGCTGCTGGAGACGAGTAAGAAGCTGCTGCGTCTGCTGCTGCTGCAGCTGCATTTTGATATAGTAGTCGAACTCGCGCATGTCCCTCGCCTTCACATCCTCGTCGTCGCTGAAGCCCTCAAAGAGGGACCTGCTGGCCGCTTGTCCCGCCCCTTCATGTTGGCGGACGCGGACGCGCGCGGGCGCGGCAGCCACCGACGCCGTGGTGGCTCCGGTGCGCACCCTGCTGCTGCGGGGCCCGGAGTTCCCAGACCCTTGTCGTGGCAGCTGATCCTCAGAACGCGCGCCGGCCACCGCCGTGACGAAGTCGTTGCGGTGGCCTCGGTTCGCCGCGTCGCCAGCTGCTGGTTGTTCCTGGTCCATGCCTCCGATCCGCTCCCTCGATGGACGATGCCCGCCGCCGTGCCCTCGTGGGGAAGGTGGGAGGGGTCAGGGAATCGAGAATCGATCGGAAGAGTGGTGGTACCCTAGGTAGGAGTAGTAGCTATAAGTAGACTCAGGTGGGCCTGCAATGAAGCGGGTTTCTCGGATCAGGCAGGGGTCAGGCCCGGCCCTGGCGGAGTGGGTTGAGCGGGGCAGAGCCTCCGGGCCTCTGAATCCTACTAGGGCAGGGCCCATCCCCATTTCTCTGAAGTGTACTAGCAGTAGTTTGCATTGGGCCAAACGCGCCTCCTTCGCAGCTTCGTCTCTCCGTCTCCAAACCTTTCCTCTTCTGCTCCACCACACCGTGTGCCAACGCGGAGTCGCAGAAACGCAGCCACCACAAAACGGCGTCGAGTGCATGTGCGAATCGAAGCTGGCAACCATGTGTGAGGCATAGAGAGGCCTTAGGGCCAGAGGACAAACCATTCACTACGTCCCATTTGCAACCATGGGTTGGAACCACTCGGAACTTTGAAAAGTTGTAACTCCTATAAAACCAAACTAATCCATTGACCCCTTAACCCCCAAATCAGCTCAGCTTGTGATCAATATGAAACTGTTTGCCCCCAATCCAGAGCTGATCTACATAGAATCCAGATTGTTTAACCCATATACCTCTACGTCAGGATCATGGCAAGCAAGATCACATTTCCAATTTATGAAATCAATAAAACATCTGACCCTTCGGTGTCTATGCAAAAACTTAGAGAACCCTTTACATGTGATTACTCAATTCATCATAAGACTAAAAGTATGGACCAATACAATACATGAACTCTTGCAGTTCAAAACCCAACTGTAGTCAGACAGTGCCCCGATATACTTCACAGGAACAAACTTCATATACCCAGAGTTATGAATGCCTCATTGAATATGGTAGGGAGAAAAATGGCTTGAACGTCAGCACCAGACCAATCACGGACACCATGTTTAGCATTAGGAACAAGATCTGATCTCCTGCATTTTTTGTAAATGAAACCAATATATGCACTTAGTTATTATATTTAGCTTCCTAAAATCCTAAGTAAAGGAAAGAAAATGGCACAGTTGGAGGAGCCATGTATGAGTTGTTTACCTGGTAAGAACAGTCCGCTTATGTGCTTCTGAGCCCATGAGAACCTATAAAAAGCCAAGAGATAAATTAAGAAAATATAATCCATTATCTTAATGTTCTAGATAAAAATAGTAACTTTCCAACCATATAAAAGATAAAAAGAAGAATATTTACAGAATTCCTGCTGCTGCTGGAGCTACAGCTTTGAACATGGACATCAGAGTAACAGAGATGCCATTAGCAACACCTCTCTGCTCCTGTGTCTGCACATGTTATCAGACAAGTAATAAGCTAGAAAAATGATAACGCTATTGAAACAAATAAACTTGCCAAACATGATTGATATGTACCACTGCAGTGTTCTGTAGAATGTTGCACGCAATAGTAATAGTAGCCTGTTTCATTTAAATAATACATTAGCATTTGTTCATAATATAATTTACTTTTGAATGATGATAGTTAATTATACATTTCAGAAGATTCACCAAATTGGAATTTGGAAATGCTTATTTACATCAGAAATGCCTTTTTCTATGCTAGTTGTCGATGGCGATAAAAGACATGGAAGAAATTTGACTCACAGCAAACATGTTCTTCAAAACTGATGCCATGTTGATTAGTATTTTGAGCTCCAGGCCATGTAGATTGGCCATGAAGGGATACGTAATGAGGAGAATGATCGACAGGATCTGCAAACCAAACATGCAATTGAATTCAGCACTAAAAAAGATGATTCGGTTTAAAGAAGTTATCCAACAAAGACAAATATCTGTTTCATACATCCCTTTTAGAAAGAAAAAAAAAACTGGGAAACCCCTACAGTTTCCATGAAAATAATTAATAAATATTCTCCCCTTCCTAATATTTAGATCTATATCTAACAATTTTGATTTGATACAATTTATCAGTTGAATATTTGTCTCTCCCCCATACTATATATTTTAATTAAGATTCTTCATTCTTTACAAGTTTACAAGGAAACCATCAAAGATGTATTTCTCACGTACCGCCGCAGGCCGAAATGTCTTCATTGGTCCAAAATACTTTGCAAGGAAAGGATAAATAGCAAGTTGGTATACGAGTACACCAAAACCTACCAAGATCAAATGAATTGTTGTCATATAAATAATCTCAACAGCAATAACTTTCTAGCATTGCTACATGTGCAACCATTTCACTGGAACTATAATTCAACATCTCAAGGCTAATAATATCACATGGATGGAAAGATTTTAAATGCATTGGATGATTTATATACCCATCGTTAAGTAATACTCAAAAGCATTTCGCTATTTGCTAGAAGTGGTTATGTGCTGATTTTACTCCTTTTACAAGGTATTTTGCTTCTCATGTTAAATATTTATTAGCTTAAAACTTGGGAAAATACCACGTACCTGAGAAGGCTAGCACTGTACCAACATCCTGGGATGTCAAACTAAGGCCCCGAAATTTTTTACTGCTCACAGTCCAGAGTGAAAATATCTAGAAATGTTTTTTTACAAACGATATTAGCATTAACATATACATCTTATTGGTAGTTACTTCAAGGGTTAGAGTGAAAACATCCTCTTTATTGATGTTTTAATGAAGAAGTTACTTTGAAGATATATATCTTGAGGTTGAGAAATATATGATAGAGATTACCTCAAGATAAGCTGTGTCATGCAGAGAAAAGATACAGTAGAGGATTATTGCTGACATTATTGCCAATTCTTTAGCAGATTTTTTGTAGATTCGGAGCCACGAACTTGTGCCTCCAGTTCGTCAATAGCTTCTACTTTGGCATCATCATGAAAGTGTAGCGTTTTCTAAGAAATGGGATAAAATTCTAAGGAATTTTATCAATATCTTAATAGAGCTTTAAAAGAATGATTATTTATCTAACTACAAAAAAGATGTATTGAATGAAGGAATATAAGTCCAAACATATTTCATTTATTTTTTCCTTGAGAGGATGTAACTATTAATTTGGATTCAAGATGAAAATAATAGGGAAGATGATGTGGCATACAGGAAGCCAAATGCATGCAATACATGATCCTGCTGCTAGTAATGATATTACGAAGCAAGGGAGGAAGTATGGAAATCTGAAAATTAGATGCAAAATTTTGATGGTTTATAAGAGTAAAAACAATGAAATAGTTATATGATAGAAATGGTAAGAGAAATAATTTACCTCCCAAATATGGACTCTTCGGAAAAAAGATTTGGGTACTTTTGTGCAGGCTAAAACATGATAGAGCATAGACAATGTTAGTCATGTGTATCTTTGCAATAGTTTCTTCATTTAATCATAAGATGAAAATATTCACCCCACTCGTTAAAGACAATAATCATAGTCATTAGCAACCTGGTAAAAGTGTGAGATTAACCAAAGAATACTCCCACCATCCTAAAATACAAAGTATCCTAGGAAATCTAGGATAGATTACTGAGTAAAGGAAATGACGCATGTAATCTTCACTTAATAATAGAATGTATTATGATTACCGTATTTTGAGCCTAGTAGTTGGGTTCTTGGCAATAAAATAGGTATGTGTGTGATTTAGGGTGAGTTATTTCGCCTAAAATCTCTTATAACTTTAAAGAAAAATTGAATAATTTGATACCTTACATTTCAGGACAAAGGGAGTATATTTACACCAAATGTGTTCCATATATATGGGCTATTTTTACAATATAGTGTCGGATGAAATGCTTGACTTCAATTTATATATTTTTGTTAATTACTATCTTCTTTTGTACACATCAGAGGTCAATTATGATTAAAGGAGACATGATTAAGGCACTCATTAGCATTTCAAATTTAACTCATATTGCTATCGAAATTCCATAATTGATCTTCACCTGTGCAAGAAAGCCTCCAATAGCTGGCCCAATAACAAGAGCCTCCATCTTATCCCGCTTCCTCTTCTTCCTTGTCGTGGTCTCATCTTCCTCTTTCTTCTTCTCGAACTCAACGTCTATGCCCTTCACCATGCCAAACACCTTTTGCCCATACCTCGTCCTTTCTGGCTCGTCAGTTTCAGGCTCCTCCTGGTTGTCGAAGTACTTATTCATCGTAGCTGCCCGGTACCTGTGCTTTTTGACGAGGAATCGCCTATGCCTCATGTACATCATCTTCTTGGATGCACAAAGGTAAGTGTAGCAGGTACCGTCAATGCAAATTACGCAACCAGACTTACCTTTGATCTGCCCCGACAGTGAAAAAAGACCAGGCTAATCGGTGATGGTGACAAAGATGATAGCTTTTAGAGTGAACTCTTTCTTTAGGGATGCATCCATCATCTTGACCCCATCTTCCCATAGTATCTTCATGTCCTCCATGAGCGGCTCTAGGAACACATCTATATCATTGTCTGGCTGCCAAGGTCCTGAAATAATCATGGTTAGTAAAAGATACATGCGCTTTTGACATAGCCAGGGAGGTAGGTTGTAGATGGTGAGGATGACCGGACAAGTGTTGTGCGAGCTGCTGAGGTCACCGAATGGATTCATCCCATCGGTACTCAGCGCGAACCTGACGTTCCTTGCCTCGTCGCCAAACTCCGAGAACTTGGCATTGAAACGCTTCCACTGCTTGCCATCGGAAGGGTGTCGTAGCTTACCATCGTCCTTCGTGCGCTCATCAGATGCATGCCAGGACATCAGCTTGGCATCCTCGAGGTTCCCGAATATAGCATGCAGGCGATCGATCATGGGCAGGTACCACATCAACAGGGCCAGACTTTTCCTCTACGTGTAACCCTCTTCTTCCTCGTCCTTAGGAGACGGGATCTGCTTCTTCGTGGTGCTCTTCTTGGCCATCTACTTCTTCTTCGACCCTCTCTTGTTGTCTGCATCCACGCGACAACCGGCATTCCTCTTGTACCGACTCGCGCCACAGTGCGGACAGCTATGCAAGTTCTCATACTTGCCCCGATATAGGATACAGTGGTTAGTGCAGGCGTGGAACTTTTTAAGTTTCATCGCCACTGGTTGGATCAGCTTCTTTGCCCGGTAGGTATTGGCGGGCACCTTGTTACCCTCTAGGTATGTGTCAGCAAGGATATGTAACAGGTCGTTGAAGCTAGTGTCGGACCAGCCATGGCGAGCCTTCAGCATCAACATTTGGAGGTTAAAACGCAGCGCCGTCTAGTGCTTCGGACAGTCCTTATAGAGGGGATCAATTATCGCCTGCTTCATCTCTCTAAAATTCTCCAACCATCTCGGGCTCCCAAACAGAACATCATCGTGGTCAAGATGGTTAACGATTGACTCAAAAAGCTCCGCGGTCTTAGGATCCCTCAAAGGCTCACCGCCAACCCCATCGTCGTCGTCAGCTATGTCTTGGAGCAAATCATCCATCGTGATGTAATCATGATCTACATTGTCGCCAGTAGCAGCATTGCCGTGCCTGCTGGCCGCTGATGATGAGGTTTGTTGTTTGGCATTCACCGCCGCCGCCGTCACTGTCGACGAGTTCCCTCCTCCAGATGCACCGGCACTCGGATCCTCTGCTTCCCCGTGAAACTTCCAGGCGATGTAATCCTTGACGAAACCATACCAGACCAAGTGAGATTTCATCATGTCATCTCCGTAGGCAAGAAGGTTCTTGCGGACCTTACACGGACATATCATGTATTCCCACTTCAGACTCAGACGATGCCTTTTCGCGGCGGCAATAAACTTTGTCACATGATCCAGGTAAGCTTGTTCCACCCTCGATGTCTTGTACATCCATTCCCTGTCCATGACCGTGAACACCTTGCACACACAAACAACGAAAATGGCGCATATAAGTGGAGCAGTACGGAAAAAAGACAGACGGGTAGCTCTAGATCTGATTTCTCTCTCCTCCATATAGATCTAGATCTAGATCTTGAGAAAAAGTACCTAAATCATGGAAAAGAGAGGAGATTGAGGGTTTGAGAGTGAGAATCAACCTCTTTGCGGTGCCCCCCTTCAACAAATCCAAGGGCAAACCTCTCCCCCTAGAAAAAGGCCACTTTTTAGGGTTTTGAGGTCAAAACCCAAAAAATGGAGAAGCTGGAGGAGAGGGGCGAGGAGGGGGCTAGCCGCCACCACGCTGGAGGCCGGCCGGTGCGCTGCCACATCGGGAGAGGGAGAGTGCGCGCGCACGCGCGGGTGCACCGCCGCCGGTCATGGAGAGAGGGAGAAATTTCTAGAGAGTTTGAGGGAGAGGAATGGGGGAGCAGACGGTAGATATTTTGTTCCTGGAGAGGAAATTTTGGGTTCGCTGTTGGAGAAAGAAATTTTTGGGTGGGTGACCCAGTGACTATTCGTGACCCAATTCTTAGAATGGGTCTTGTATTTGGGTTTGTGCAGTTGGAGATAGTATAAGGGCAACTCCAATCAAACTCTCAAATTTTGCTCTCATATTCCTTTAAATGAGAGTTCCGCATCCATATTTCATCCCCTACTCCTTACTGCACTCCAATCGATCTTCTAAATTTTTCCTACTTTACACTGTATTGACATAAACCCTATTTATTAGTCCCACTTGTCAGCTTTATGAGAAGAGAGAAAGGAAGAATAGGGGAGAGGATGAGGGACTCCTACATGTAGGGGTTTAGGAGAAAGAAATGAGAGTCTCTCATCCATCGGGGTTTGAATAGGAGCTCGGTTGGAGAGCTTTTTTAATGAGTTTGAGCTCTCAAAATAGGATGATGGCTTAAGTAGGAGTTTAGTTGGAGTTGCCACATTAGAGCAGGTGAACAGCAGCATTAGCCTCATCAAAAAGGTTGGCTCCATGTAGATGTAGACTAGTTCGGGCCTATTCCCTCACAATGCAAGCCACAGAAGTACCTACACCTCTAGGTCCCACCACTGTCTTTTTCTCTTTCTATCTTTTTCTTTTTTGGGCCTTGTTTAGATTGGAGTTAGGAATCAGTATTTGGCACTGTAGCATTTTCGTTTGCATTTGACAATTATTGTCTAATCATGGCTTAACTAGGCTTAAAAGATTCGTCTCGTAATTTACAATCAAACTGTGTAATTAGTTAATTTTTTTATCTATATTTAATACTCCATACATGTGTTCAAAAATTTAATATGATAAAGAAAAAGTGAAAAAACTTGCGATCTGGCCTCGAAACGTCGCTCGCAGCTTCACAGTTTGGGAAGGGAAACGCGGACTGTAGCTGTGGTCCCTATGAAACAAACGTCATCGCAGTGTGGCTTCTCGCCCCCAACACGTGCTTGGACTGCTGCTCTGGCTTTTTCTCAGATCAAACCACCGCCGCTCTCTGCAAACTGCTAGCTGCTAGGCTATCAATTATCGTGACATAGATGCACCGTGCAGGCGTGGAAGTTGGGGCAGTACGTCACCATTGGGGAAGCCTGAAAGAGAATGGTAGGATGACGTTACACGCCCACATATTCCGGTACGGTGATGCACATCTCGATCTTATTGGGTCGTCAGAGTTGAAACTTCCTCTATAATTCAGAGCCTATTTAGTTCCTAAAATTTTATAATTTTTTTTTAAAATTTCTCGTCACATCGAATCTTTGAACACATACATGAAGCATTAAATATAAATAAAAAATAAAACTAATTACACAGTTTAGATAAAATTCACGAGACAGATCTTTTAAGACTAATTAGACTATAATTAGACACTAATTATCAAATAACAATAAAAATACTACCGTACTATTTTTCTAAAAAAAAATCGCCAACTAAACCGCCCCTCAATTTA